AGCAGCAGCAGCAGCAGCAGCAGCAGCAGCAGCAGCAGCAGCAGCAGCAGCACTTCCACAGTTCTGTCAGGATGACTGTACAATGTAAAACTGATGGGAACGTAAACCGCGGTGAGCTTTCAGACGGCAGGGGGTGGGGTGGGGGGGGGGGGACTGAGCCAATACACTGTTGCTCTTATGTGACGTGAAGCGAGGTAGTAGTAGAGCCAAAATGGCTGACATGTTTAGATGAGCCAGCTTTGTGGCTGAAACAAAAGATTTGCCTTTTTTGAGTCTCCAGCTGTTGAATCTCAACGAGACGCCATCGTTAAAGATTTCAGTAACCTTTAGCTCGCTGATCCGGTCAGATTTAATCTTTATTTATCCAAACAGAAGCTGTTCAAAGAGCTATCTACAACAGGTAAGATATTTGTAACTTTTCCACAGAATTCCACACAACTCAAATACTTATATATTTAAAAAAAAGCAGTTTTAATGTGATCAGGGAAGTCTTCGAGCCGCTGATCATCAGAAACAAACGTTCTCGCTCCGTCAGTTCTTTTTGACGTCAGCTTCACGATTTCGGCTGATGTTTAACAAAAAGTCTCCGCAGGACAACAAAACTTTAAGAAGAATGTTTTCTCTTTCCATGTTTCTTGTTTCCAAAACTAAAATGTATTGAAAAATGATGGGAAAGCAGAAGACCGGAGAAGTTTTAGCTTCTCACAGGGTCGATCAGGGAACGTTTGAGGCGACACGAATGAGAAAAAAATCAGATTTACGTCGAGTTTTGAGCCCCACCAATAGTTTTTACTGAAAATGGCCATTTTAAATCCATATTTTCCATTTTAATTACATAATAAAATAAACGTGGGGGGAAAAAAGGGAACAACTTTTGTAATTCGTTGCCTTGTAGACTTAAAAATAAACAAACTGTTGAATCTCTGGGACAACAAACAAGTTTCAGCTCCGATGTTTCACCCGTTTGATTCAGATTCCAGCACAGAAAACATTCATTCCCGTTTCCTTTTTAAATCCAAACGTATCAAACGAGATAAAAAATTAAGCTTCGACTGATTGGAGACGCCCCGGTCCGATCAGAACCTCCATCAATGATTCGAAGCAGTGGCTCGTCTTTGAGTTTCCTTGCGGCTGCTAAACGTTTACCCTGTATAGAAGTCACTTCTCGTCACAGATGTCTGAGTTTTTCTCCTCTCAGCCTCCAGCTGACGTGTAAAAAACGATTCTGTTTCCGTTCGACTCCAGAAGGATACCGCAGCACCGGTGTCAGGTTTCCTTCTTCATAGAAAAGGCTCAAATATATTAAAACCTACAGTATGTACAATACGTTGCTTGTGTCGCTTGCCGTCGAAACGAGGCGTTCGGGGCTCCTGCACGACTTCCTGCTGGGGGACAAACCCGTCGACGGAGCGTCTGCCGAAGTGAAATACAGCGATAAAAAAACAAAACGAACAGATCACAGTTTGGACGTTCTCCACACGCAGGACGGATCGCCAGCAGAAGACAAGGCAAAACGGAAAAACAGGAAAAAAAAGGCACTGTCGGAGCAGGACGGGCCTGCAGCAAGAACACGCTTCATTTGTACAAACACACCGTCGATGTGGATGATTATGGGGGGGGGGAGGACACGTCCACGCATCCACCGTCCGACTCAGATATTAAACTTCACGTATTTTCCTGTAAAACAATCAGAACGAAAATAAACGAACAAATTTCTCCGTCAGAGTTCACAAACGATACTTCCATTTGAATTGGTCTCAACACCAGCATGTGATTAATCAACGACGCACGTCAAATAAAACGAACCAAAACTAAAAGAAATCCAAGTTGTCTTCTTTTTTTTTGCTGTACAGATTTTTTTTTTTTACACACAGTGCCCCCTGCAGGTCAGTCCCTTCCATCGCAGCTCCTGAGGAATGTCAGCTCGCCGTTAGCCCGCCCCTCGATGGCCTCGGCCCCTCCTGATTGGCTGCGTGCGCACAGCTCCGCCCCCATCGTCTATTGAAAAGCATCTTTCAACGCTCACGCCTCCGAGTAGTTGTGCGTCTGTCCGTTCATCTTGTCCTTCTTTAGCTTCACGCCGTCCACCAGCTCAAAGTTGTAGTTTTCCAGGGCGGATAAGTTCCTGTCCGTCATGCTGCCCTGCGAGCAGGCGCAGTACAGGACCACGCCGCAGATGGCGCCCAGGAAGACGCCCAGAGCCGACATGGCGATGATGGTGATGAGGATGGGGTCCAGGGTCTTCAGCATGTTGCCCGGCCCGCCGAGGTCCCCCGTTTCCTGAGAGAGGGAGTCCACGGCTGCAGGACACGAGAAAACACCGTTAAAGTAGGAAGAGAAATGACCCACAACAAGGAAGTGCTTGTCAGAGTTGGACACAAAGATGTGACTCGGTTCGTTCGAACAAAATGAACATTTTCACAGAATAAAGTCTGCGAAACTTACGCAGCATGAAGATATCGGTCGAGAGAGTCGGAGGTTCTGGATCTGGAGAGAAAAACAAAACACAGTTTATAAAAACATGTTTTCACGGAGTGAGTCAGTTCAGCTCCTCAAGGTTTTTTTTTTTTTTTTTTTTAGGAGAAATACGTTTTAATTAACGGAGAAAAAACAGGAAACACAACTCACTCCTGCAGTCCTGAAAGTGGACGCCATCAATGATCTGAATGTTGTCCACAGCGATGAGTCCTGAGCTGCGTCTGTCTGCTACGCCTTCCACCACCACCTGAAACAACACGGCAATACAAACCACTCAAACACAGAGCTAAAACCAGTCAAACACAGAGCTAAAACCAGTCAAACACAGAGCTAAAACCAGTCAAACACAGAGCTAAAACCCCTCAAACACAGAGCTAAAACCAGTCAAACACAGAGCTAAAACCAGTCAAACACAGAGCTAAAGACCCTCAAACACAGAGCTAAAGCCCCTCAGACACAGAGCTAAAACCAGTCAAACACAGAGCTAAAGCCCCTCAGATACAGAGCTAAAACCAGTCAAACACAGAGCTAAAACTCTTCAAACACAGAGCTAAAGCCCCTCAAACACAGAGCTAAAGCCCCTCAAACACAGAGCTAAAGCCCCTCAGATACAGAGCTAAAACTCTTCAAACACAGAGCTAAGGCTCTAACGTCCTCCCTAAAGTGGTGTAAATACTTTATGTGCATTTATTTGGTCTGTTTTTCTAAATCACATCATATAAATGTAACAATAAAAGGATCTCGGAAGTTTAAGCAGAAAGTTTTGAATCTCTCATCGTTTCTGACACGAAGCCTCACCTGATAGGGGAGGCTGGAGCGGGGCAGTAAGACCCGACCCTCCCTCCACCGGCTGCCCTGATGTCCACTCGTGGTCCACAGGATGTGTCCCTCCTCCGTCTCTTGTCTGTGTTTGACGTGCAGCGTCCCGATGTGCTCGCCGCTCATGTGGTACCAGAATGACATGCACAGGTTGGTGTCGGGCGTGGTGATGGGGAGGCTGGCCAGCCGGGCCACCTTCTCCTCCTCATCTCTGTCATCTCCAGTTTTACTTTGTGTGCTGGAGTCTGTCAGCTCCATGAAGATGAAGTTCCCCGGTCCACCTGCAGAGAGCAGCAAGAGGCAAGGAGTCAGATCGAGCTGTGGTTTAATAGCTGAGACTTTGTTTGCATTTTTAGTGGAAAAAGATTTCATTAGAACTAAGATGGAGTTTTACTGAGACAATAAAGGCCCTCTAAAGTCTCAAGGGTGTCCTGGTCACAAAGAGTCTTTTCATATCTTGAATTCCTGCCTCAAACACCCCAAAGACATCAAGGACTTCACAAGGTCTTCAGTGAAACAAAGGAGCGAGAATCAGCAGGCTTCAGAGGAAAGTCTGACCCGCCGTCACAAAGAGCTCATTTTTACTCCAGAAATGGTTAAGTCCAGAAATCAAAAAGAAACCAGAAACATTTGCATTTCCTATGAAAAGGCAACGTGAAAGTTTACTGCTGAAAGATTTTGCAGAAGCAGTTGAAACCAAACTGTAAGATTCTGTAATTGATGGGAAGAACCAGGTACACACCCAGTAAGAACCAGGTACACACCCAGTAAGAACCAGGTACACACCTAGCAAGAACCAGGTACACACCTAGCAAGAACCAGGTACATATTCGTCAAGAACCAGAAACACACCCAGTAAGAACCAGGTACACACCCAGTAAGAACCAGGTACACACCTAGCAAGAACCAGGTACACACCTAGCAAGAACCAGGTACATATTTGTCAAGAACCAGGTACACACCCAGTAAGAACCAGGTACACACCCAGTAAGAACCAGGTACACACCTAGCAAGAACCAGGCACATATTCGTCAAGAACCAGGTACACACCCAGTAAGAACCAGGTACACACCTAGCAAGATCCAGGAACACACCCAGTAAAAACCAGAAACACACCTAGCAAGAACCAGGTACATATTCGGCAAAAACCAGGTACACACCTAGCAAGAACCAGGTAAACACCCAGTAAGAACCAGGTACATATTCGGCAAGAACCAGGTACACACCCAGTAAG